GGCGGGCCGGCGAAGAGCGGCCGGGCGGGGGCGGGGCGGGGCGCAGCAGCTCTGGACTCTCACCCCCACCCTCGAAAGCGCAGCTCGCACTCCTCTAAGCGAGAACCGAGGACTGGTTGGGGTACTCCACGGCCTGCAAGGATCCGTCAGGCGGGGGCTGTCCTAGCCGAATTAAAGACCCCAGTCCTAAAGAGCCTAGAAGCAGCTGGAGAGTTTGGTTATGTGTGTGCAGGGCCAAGGCGCTGTCTGCGTCTCCCCTTTCATGACGAGGAAACTGGGGCTCAGAGAAAGAATGGGAGCTGGCCTTTTCAGTCAGCGCTGTGAGATTCCGCTCAGAACCTCAATGTCCTCCCCTGAACCTAACAGTTGTTAGCTCAACTCCCATCAGTAACTCATGGGGTGAAATACCGGTACCCTTTTCTCTTTTATTTGGGAGCGAACGGGTTCAGAACGGTTCAGTGGCAGAGCAAGGATTTTTTTGGTACTCTTAACCCTCATTTCCCATCACTGATTTCTGAGGCCTCCAGTCCAAAATAACCATTGTTGCAGGGAAACCCCAGGTGTAGAGAGGAGGCCTCTAACTGCCAGTGAATATCCGTTCATTCAGCAAAAGTGTATTAAGCCCATATGAATGCCCGAGTAGGGCGGCGTGGGAAACAAGGGGTGGTAGTAGTACACAGTGCTGGGGATTCAGCGTGGAACCAGGCAGCCAGAGTCTAGCCTGCCCAGAACTTCTGTATGGGATGCTCCCTGAATGCTGTGTGATAGGGTCCCTAGGATGAAGCCAAATTCTAAGAGTAAAGGGTTAGTTTGAAAATTCCCAGCCCCACCCTCCCCAGTCAGGGACTTTGACCCGCTCTACCTTGCTCTGCTTAGGGAATATTGCCACCCCTCCCTAGGAGACTAAGGCGCCAGGCTCACCTAACCAACGGGCACATGATGGTATTCCTGACGCCAAAGAGACAAAAGGCACTTCCACACAGGGCCCCCTAAGGAAATCAGAGGCCTACAGCTCTTCTGGGATTGGACTGGGCAGGGAGGCCAGGCAGCTCCTTGGGTTACCAGGTCTTTGTCTGCAAGCTGTGGTATCCAGTGTCTGCCAGGTGCCACAGCTGATGACAGGAAGATGAAAGGACGTACAGTTCTCATACTTTTTCTCCACAACAGTGCCCTGCCCTCTAGCTCAAGCTTCAAGTCTTTTAGTCAAGGCCCCCTGAATCTCCTTTGCTCGCCCACCCATGACAGACAAAGTGGCATTTTGTAAAGTCTTGTTGAGCATCCTAAGCAGGACTGGGCAGTGCCAGGTCATACATCTAGCCTGAGGATCCAGCTCAGGGCCTGGCATAAAATAGGTGTATGTTTTTCCACGTATGTCTAGGGGCCCCTAATATTAGAATCACCGAAAGATTCTTGTTTTTAAAATGCAGGTTTCATTCGCTCATATAGATGTTATATGCATAGATTCTCTCAGGAAAGGTAAACAAGAAATTGCCTCCAAGGAAGGGAACTAGGTAATTGGAGAATAAGGGTTAGGGTGCTTTTTTACTTTATACCTTTTTCTACCTTTTGAATTTTGATCCATATGAATGTGTTACTTATTCAAAATTTTCTTTACGTCAAAAAAATTCACATCAGATCAAGAAAAATTCAGATTCATGAGTCCACTCTTGATCTGATGAATCAGGTTACCTAGGGGCAGGTTTTTCTGCCTTTTAAACAAGTCCTCCAAGTGACTTTTAAGCCCTGGATAAGTTGAGAAACCACTATAGTAGGGAATCAGTGATGAAGCACTGCTAAGGGGCCAGCAGTGTCTGTCAAAGGTTACTCATTTAGCTTCACACTTTCTGAATCAGCTCTCCCCTCCACTCAGGAGAGACAAGACAGTTACAGGACTATGGTTGCAGGCTGGGGAACATGCATCCCCACTCAATGGTCCATAATCACCAGCCCGGGTCGAAAAGGACTGGCCCCTGCAAAGTCCCCTTGGTATGTGTGGGTGTGAGAGTTTGCGGGATTCCACTGATCCCAGAGCTGGCCTTGAGAAGGCCGAGGTCCTTACTTCAATCACTCCACACACCATGTCATTAAACTCCTTGTGCTTACACCTGACACTAACACAACACTGTAAATCTTCATTTTTTTCAAATCAAAAACAAAAATGAAAAACCTCCTTGTGCTATAGAGAAAGAAAATAAAACTAAAGAGAAGGGACTTTTCCAGTGTCACACAGCCACTGCAGCCCCAGCCATGTTTCTGCAACTATAGCCCAGATACTGAATTTTAGCCCCTTTCCTCAAATGCCAGCAGTATTTTGTGATTTACAACTGTTCCCAGTGTACTATCTCTAGGGAAGCTAAAGGCCTGAAATTCAAGCAGTCCAGGTGGGAAAGTCTGGTTTTTATGATGAAATTCATTTCCAGAAATGATCTCCTTTTGTAAATAGAGTTTCACTGCTTTAAAGGGTTCACAGGGGCACTCCTATGAGGATCGATCCTTTCGGTGCATCTAAATGGGACTTTCCTGCCCAGAATTCAGTTCAAACTCCCTTTCTCAGGCACCGACCCATGGTACCAACCCTGGACTCTGGATGTGTGTTCCAGCCCATAGGACAGCATGTAAGCTAAGAAGTAAGCCAGCCCCCATGGTCAAAGATCTCCTGGCTGTACGCTGCCATTGTGTCGACTTTCTCTGTCTTGCTCACCTGGTAGAGTTGTAAGCACAGGAACTCTGTTATGTGATCTTGGGCAAGTTATTTCACCTCTCTGAGCCTCACCTTCCTCTGCTTAGCCCCTTCTCCTTCCCTTTTGCAAGAGTCTAAGCCTTCCATCTAAAAATCAGACTACCTTATTGCTCCAGAGGAAAAAGTGCTGAATGCAAAGAAAAAAAGTTAAATTCTTGGATCTTGACTTGCAAAATGAACTCTTGAAACCCAAAGCTTTTCAGCCCAAGAAAGTTTTATGGAGTGCCCGGTTGCCAAGATATTGTTTCCCAAGTACAAGCTGTCGCCCCTGGCTACCCTGCCCACTACCCTTGACTCAGCTGAATACTACATATCTCCAGAAACTTGGAAGGCACAAGCCGAGCTGTTGGCCATAAGATCCCAGCTTCAACAGGAGTACCTACTTCAGTACCACGACCCCAGCTGCCTAGGGGTCATCAAAGATCTTGCCTTGATTGGCTGGATCTACACAAAATCAGGAAATGTCTATTCAAATTTCAGACCCACTCCCAAGACCTCCTGTTAGAAGCTCTATTTGGAATTGTGCCCTTCTTCTTCTGGTATTATGTTTTCAAAACTGACAGAGATAAGAAAGAACAACTTATCCAGGAAGAAAAATTTGATCAAACATTTAACATCTCGTATTAAGTCTGGCAATAATGACTATATACACTATTGTTTAAATAAATATATTAATCATTAAAAACAAGAAAATTTTATGGGGCAATGAAAGCCCAAGAGGCTTAGGATTCAGATCTTAAATTTTATACCAGCAACAGAAGAGTTGGGAAGAAGGAGGTGTGATAATACCAGAGCCAAAGGCTGGGGATGGGGAAAAAATTAAGGCAAGGAGAACATTGCAGTTAGCTACTGGGACAGATCTCTGAGAAGGGACTCTCTCCCACTCCCTCCCCTAATTCCCACTACCCAGGGATAGGGAGAGATTAGGACCCCCAGGTAGGTTTGAGAGCTCTGAGAGTGATGAAAATCTGTGCCTTGGTCTGTGAGTAAGGTCTAAAGTCTTCCATGATGAGAAAGTATGGCTGCAGTGAAGTAGAAATGGCAGCTTGGGGTGCCTGGGCAGGTGGGCCTGGGAGCATCTCAGGCTGGTGCCTAGTGTGTATGTGTAAGGATCCCAAGGAGCACTGAAGTATGTCCTCAGATCCTGAAACATCATAGAAGTGGCTCAAAGAGGGGCTAGAGAAAAAGCAAGGGGCTTGTGGAATGTAATAAAGGGCACAAATTGAAACTAGATGTGTCTGGACAGTCCAAGCCAGAGAGCAAAACACAAACCCAGACATCTGTGGCACAGCAGAAACTAAAGATGATAGTTCACAACCGGCAGGGGTCATGTCTGCCTGCCTGCCTGCCTCCCTAAGAAGTAGAGGAAGATGGATGATGACCAAGGACCAGATAATCTCCAGCCTCCTTACCTCCCACTCTATGCCATGACCACATAAGCTTAGGATGTAGCTGTGATCCTGGATAGCAGAAGAGGGACAAAACCCTCAACTTGACTAAGGCAACCCCTGAAATGACTGAGTGATCATGTGAAGTGATAATCTGAAGTGACCAGATTATATTTCTGCTATCAAATGGAAATCAGTACCATAGAAAGTAATTAAGAAAATAAGAGAGCTATCATTTTGGCACACCTGAACTTTCTGACTTTACAATTTCATTTGGCCATGGTGCACAGGAGTCATGCAGACCTGCTGCTGCCCACTTGCTGCTCACATCGTGTGATCTGTGGCTTCCTCTCTCTAGCCTCAATCTTCTTGTCTGTAGAATGGGCTTTATAGCAATACCTAACTCACAGGATTTTTGTGAAAATTAATTTAGTCAATCACTGGAATGGGTAAACATAAGAGTAACAATACCAAATATTGACAAGGATGTGGAGCAATTGGAATTCTCACACATTGCTGGTGGTAATGCAAATTGGTACACTTCAGAAAATTGACAGCATCTCCTAAAGCTAAACATGCATATACCCAATGGCTCAGTAATCCCAATTCTGAAGCAATCCTCATTAGGAATAAGTCCTTATGTCCACCAA